CCTTCCACTCCAAGAGCAGAGAGCCAGGAGGTCATCCCTAATCCGCCATTTTTGACAATCCACAATTTTTTTTTAATGAAAATTTCTTTTAGTTTCTTCACAAGAAGCTCAAAATCCAATTTGTAAAATTAGATAGGGGACAAAATACCAATGTGTTATTTCCCTTGTCCTTGATTTTTTTCTTTCACCTTTCTATGGACACAGGTACACATGTCCTCTGTATTTAACCAAAACTCAGCCCTTCTGCAAATCTTCTCATGGAAAAAGATGTCCATAGATTCACCAGTTGGCCCACTATTTCAGATGCATTGAAATTCACTATGTCTGATTTCTTTTGAGCTCAGGTAGAACCACCCACCACATTGACATGTTGACTTCAAGATGCCTATGGAAAACCAGGTAGAGGTGTTGAATAGCTAGAGAGAAACAAGAATCTAATTTTGGAGAAGAGGTAGGACTAGATACATTTATATATTTGGGAGCTATCTAAATAGTGATGATACTTCGAAGTTTAAGGATAGAAGAATTCCCAGTGGTGAACATGGAGAGTAAGAAAAGAATGGGCCACAAACAGGACCCTGAAGAATAACTTTTAAGAATTAGATGAGGAAAGAGGAATCTACAAAGAGAGTGAGAATCAGTGGTCTCAAAAGCAGGAGGAAAACCAGGAAAGAGTATTGTAATGAAAGCAAAGAAAATATAGAGTTTTAAGAAGGAAAAAGTAACTCATAATATATAAATGCAAAAAAGTTTCCAATAGCAGAATGACTGAATTTTTTTCTTTTTATTTTGTGAGCAGGGAAAATCAAGAGGTCAGTGACAACTTTAATAAAAGCAATTTCAATAAATTGGTGCAGATGAAAGCCAGGTTATAATGGTATTAGGAGGTACATGGAAAAAAAGTGAATGGGAGATGGGGAAATTATTCTTTTAAGAAGTTTGAGTTGGAAACAAAGAAGGAAAAATTAAGGGTGTTAGCTATGATTTGCTCAGAAAGCCTCATCCTGTGGGACAAGGGGAAAGAATAAATAAAGGTAAGAAGGTAAATAAGTTTAAGTGAGAGAGAGAAAGAGACAAAGAGAGATAGGGTTCATGATGAATGGCGTCAACTTTATCATCAAAAAGGGGGCATGATCATCTACTAGGAGTCAAGGGAGTAAGACATTGTGGTGAGGGGATAGAAGAATATTGAAGATTTAGAATGATCCCTGGAGAGGAGATGACTATAAACAAGTGAAAGTACAGATGGGTGAAACTGAAGATCTGCATGGGATCAGAAATTAAAAATCCAGTCTGAGCAAGGGTGATAATGAGAATGGATGGCCAAAGTGGGACCAAGCAAAGGTCCTCAGAGGTAAAGATGTCAGGAATAAGACTGTGTCTTCAGTGGAAATGTCACCTAAGTGTTAAAATTTCCTCAGGTGAGGACAGGAGAGAAGGCTGAGTTTTGAAATTGTGTCGGGTGGCTGGGGGGATTCTAGTGGGGGCTCCCGGGGCCTCCACCCCCAAAGTGTGGGTACGGGGAAAGGGCTGGGGGCAGGTGCAAGGTGACATTCCCCAGGAAGAGGAAGTACAGTGGCAGATAGGGTAGGTGATGGGATGGCAGGGGACCCCTTCCGTATATTTTGGGTAGATAGCCATGTTTTTCAGTAATGGCAGAAAAGTTCAGGCTTAAACAAACCAAATATTCTAGTGTTGGCATAAATTGTTTCAGTGAAGAGAACTGGCTGAGGGTGCATGGGGGGTCTCTGTTTTCTCCCTCCTGGAGCTGCCTCACTCTGTGGGAAGTGGGGCTGTGGCTCCCAGTCTCAGAGTGCACATCCAGCCTGATGCCAAACTTTGATACTTGTTCAACTACCCTCAGACAGCTCAGGGTTGTTTTCTTTTTTTTTTTTCTAGGTTCCTTCTTGAATTATTATTACCAGTCTATAATGGAGTTATTTAACTGCCTAATAAACTAGAGCACAGTCATTCTTTATACCATCTTATTTTACTTCCTCAGGAACTAAGCAATAGTTGGAGTTTGGGTCTGGCTGGGGCTTGGCAGTCAGGGGGCATGGCCGAAACCAGCACGAATGCACCAAGTCGGAGGATGACGAGTCACAGTGGACTGGAAACCAGGCAATGGCTATTCCCAGACCAGTAGATCACAGTCATGAGATGGAAAAGCAGGTGTAGATTCTTCCAGAGGGCATGTTGGAAATAATGGGCTTGAGCAATGCAGCAGAACGGCTTGATATGTCAACCTTGAGGAGTGCCTGTTTCTGAAACAATTTTTATAGAAATCAAGATACAACTTTACTTTTGTCTGTCTGAATCCATCAGGGAGACATGTATGTAAGTATCTCTATCTAGAGTGTGGAGAGTACAAATAAGCAAAGGCAGATTTTGGCAGAAAGTAAGCAGAATAATAATGCAGTTCATCTCCTTTTGATCTATGGTTCTGATCATGTGCGTGATCTTATTATGTGCTTTACTGCCTTTATGTATGGCATTCTACCTTCTATTAAATATTAAATTCATTTGGATGACAACTCTGTCTCTTAATACAACATTTCTTAAAGAAGATGGTTCAGAGCTTACCATCTTTATTCATCTTTCCCTATGCTAAGTCTGAGCCAGGCTCTTGTCATATTAGTAGAGAAGGTAAGACATTTATCTTTATTAGCTCTGATTAACTTCTGAAAGGGTGCACATGTAGTATAACAGGCAGAGCATTCTGCATGAAAAACAAACACCTCTATGCTTTTACCCTCTTTGGCTTAGGGAGTGATCTGGACAACAGTCTTTGTTTCCAGCATAACAAGTTTTCCCTTTATCAGTTCAATTAATGACTCTCTCCAGCATTTTACAATGTATTCTTTCCCTTATACTTGCTGACTTCTATCTGTAGCTCTGTGGAGTGCAGGAGTCCAAGCAACCACACCCGGTTTGCATGACATAAATTATCTCTTCTGGAAGGATAATTTATGGCTAGAGAAAGGACTGGGCAAGGAAGAAAAGGGAGATGAGTGAACCAGCTAATGAGGTTGGTAGTGGAGGAGGAGGCCTCTTGGCGGGTGCTCAAGGGAACTTAGTGGGACTGCTGGGTTGAGGGAGGACAGAAGGATGGTGGCCAAGGTTGGTAAAAGGCAGGCAGAGAGGCCAGTCACACACAGATAGCACAAGGAAACCACTCCAGGAACAGGGGATTGGGAAAGTGCGGCAGGAGAGGAGAGAAAATTGTCAAGTTACCAACTCCCAATTTTAACTGGAACCCTGGAACAGGAACAGAGAAAGGGCAAGGCGAGACCTTTCTTGCTTCATACCTGGAGCTGAGGGCAGGTAGGCTCAGTCTATAATCCTCTCTCTTCCCTTTGCCTTACTTTTCTTCTTTCCCCTTCGTCTTCCTCTCTGTTTCTTCTGACTTACTGAAACATCTCCCTCTTCAGGAGTTACTTGATGTCATCATCGCCCCCAAACCATCAATTTGTCAATAAAGAAAATTACGGTTATTTCTAATAAAGGAGAAAGGGAAAGGGGATATGACTAATGTCTAGGAAAAACCAGGCAACAGCTCAAAAAACAATGTGTCTTCAGGAAAGCAGCAGAAGGAATATCCCTCTGATCACATATGCCATCACTTCATGGAGTTCAGATGATTTCTTGTAACTGAGAACCAATTTTCCAAGATATTATAAATCAGTAAAAATAGCACTTTAAAAGCCCCTTTCTCCCAAGGATCTTTGATTCTAAAGTAAGATAGTTTTTGCTTCTTTAATTCCCTTTTTGTGGTCCTGTTCCAAAGAATACAAAGCAATGATTGGGATCCCTAGTACTCAGGTGCTTTTTGTCAGCACATCCTGCATGTGGTGAGACAGGTGGCATCAGTAGAAGAGCATGTGAGAGCAGAGGGTCACGCGGTCCTGACGTGAGAGCGTCTGAGCTGAGAGGTGACCAGCAACAATGACGCAGAATCTGCAAGGGAGATTCCCAGCCTGTGTTGAGAGGGCTGTCTGCTCAGCTGCAGCTGGGACAGGAACACGCCTCTCTGGAATGCAGGGCATGGCCACTGTGGGCAGCATCCAGTCTAAGGGACCCCTGAGTTCTGGTTGAGTTGTTCCTTCTTAAAATAACTCTTCAGTGAGAATATTAAGGCTCTATTTGCTCATGGTAAAGTCTTAAGTTTCACTGATGCCAGGAAGCTAAAGGTCTTTGACTGTATATGAGTTTATAAAGAGACCAAATGCTTGTTTTCTTTTTTATAGGCCACAGGGCATGTGTTTTTAGTAGACCCAAAAACATATGCCCTGTGCTTCAGTGCAAACATAATATTGTGTGGTGCTTTGATGGCCACCAATAAAGACATTTGGTGAGTGTCCTGAGGTGTAGCAATAGGGGTAGAGTTTCCATGGACTAAGGGCTCAGCAAGAGAGTATATACAATCACCATTCTTTGCAGAGCTTTAGGGTGTCCTTCCCTACCTGTGCCTCATCTCATTTTTTCCTCTTTTACTCTATGTTTGCTAGCTGCTATTTCTCCTTTTCTTTTAAAAAATAATGCTTGAAGTAAGCATATGTTGAAATAGAAATTCCAGGGGACTTGCTCTCATAAGAAAGATGACACAATGTGAAGAAAAAAAACAGAGACTGAGAGTTGGAAGGTCTTCTTCACCGTGGCCTGGGGATAATTGTCAAGGCAAAAATTTAGCAGTAACATTGGATTTATCTTGAAGAAATAATCAGGGTATGGAGTGGGAAATTGAGTATGATGTCTAATACTGAGTATTCATACAAATATTATAGTGTTTTAAAAATACTATACTTCCAGATACTATTTATCTTGGATGTACACTGTTGCCTTTTTTCCTGGTCTTCAGGACAGCCCAACCTCTGCATCTCTGTCCCTCCAAAAGGCAGTGCTGGCTGAAAGTGTCATCAGAGTCTGATTAGGTCTGACTCTGCTGTTCTCCAAGTTCCAGCTCTTTGGCGTGACGTTTCCTTTCCTTGCATGCTCCCCAGGGCATACATGAGCGTGAAGGAGCTGAAGGAGGCCCTGCAGCTCAACAGCACTCACTTCCTCAACGTCTACTTTGCCAGCTCTGTGCGGGAAGACCTTGCAGGTGCAGCCACCTGGCCTTGGGACAAGGAAGCCATCAGTCACCTGGGTAAGAGAAATGCATGACAAATATGGTAGAAAAAACAAGGAGGTCTGGAGAAAGTTTGTGAAAGTGAGTTTGGAGAAAAAAGAAAGAAAGAAAAAAATTTACTCGATGAATTAACTGCTTTGGGCTGAGAATGGCTTTTAGGAGAGTCTACCAAAACTTTTCAATGTAGACAAGTAAAAGGCATTAGAGCAAACTGTGACAGATACCCAGGACATTCTAGACTGAATCTATGACCTAGGTGTAGAAAAATTGCTAACATAGAATAAGATTCATTTTAAGTCTTGCGAGAGCCCCAAGGGGAAACTACCAAGAAGGTGGCTAGACTGTGAAACCTGGTTTACAAGAATCACTGTACCAGAAAACTGGTGGGCTCCTTGCATAGATTGGGCTCCTGAGGAGATCCTGGGTAGTTCAGGCAGATGGGGCTTACCTGCTTACCTAGGAAAAGGGAGGACACTTTGACACTGCATGCAACTACTGAGTAGTTAAGAAAGATAATCCCTTTTATAATGTCTTATTATTGTAAAGGGAATATTACTGACCAATCAGTGAGGGTCATTAAATCAGTTTAATAAACATGTGGCTGAAGAGTAATTACTGAACAAAGTTTGTATGCATTCTCAAAAAGTCTTAGATAGGATTCTACCAAAATTTATTTTAAAAATGAATTACCATAATTTAGAAGAATATTTCATGTTGGAAAGACAATGATGATAGAGACTAGATCATTTTATAAATGACTTAAACAAAGTAATGCAAAGTTAATCATCTTAGTAATCAAATATGGAGTATGAGAGGAATAAATTGAAGCAAGATCACAAAATGTTGTGTATGTTAAACCCTAGGCATGACAGGGTCATTGTGAAATGAATGCTAGAACATAGTGGATTGATGATCAAAGAAAATATGAGCAAGGGTCCAAAGGATAGCTAGTGTTGTGGACTGGAGAAGGAGGAAGATGAGCTGTAGGTAAGCAATAGATAAGAAAATATTATCATTGTTCATGAAGGAGCCAGAAAACAAAAATCCATGGAGTGAATCAAGTTAAGATCTAATTATATATAATTAAACATGTAAGGATCTAAATTGAATAATTTAATTTGCTAGGATACATAGCTGGGTTTTATTGGCTCTATAGTATCTGATACAGTTTTAGGGCCCAGTAGTCCTTTTATTAATAAACTTTGTATTTCTAGTTCTTAGCACATAAGTAAATCAGAAAGTTGTGATGCTAGTGGTGTGATGCTAGGCTTGGTAGCCTGAGGCTACCAAGACAAGAGCATTGCATGTGTTGATGACTTATTTCCAGGTTCCCGAAATAAAGACCTAATTTTTCCAGGGATCCAGTATGAACCAAAGAAGGCATTCAAGTCATCTGTAATTATTGTAAGTGGATAACTGGAAAAAGTGGAACTGCTGGGCAGAAGGAGGCATTTTGTTGAGCCTGTCAGAAAAAAAAAAAAAAAGGACTTGTAGATCATAGGCTGCATATGCTGATAGTTTCAGGAAAAGTTCCAAAGGATTTTTGAAAGGACTGACAGGGAAGGCTAGTTTTAATTCATGCATTTCCAATATAGGCAGATAAACTGGACATACTACTGTACTTTCCCAGTGAAAGTTAATGTGAGTCATGCTAGCCTTCCTGATAGCAATGGGTTGACTAGGAGGTCATATTGAATAGTGAGCATGGGTGTCTTGAATTACCTTCATCAGAAGCAACAGTAGCAAAGAGGGCACGTAACACTGTAAGAAAATACCTTCAAATTGCATGTTGGAACCACTAAGGGTAGATTTTTTGGTGTGTGTGTGTGTGTGTGTGTGGTGTGTGTGGTGAGGGGTCCAGACAGCAAGGTTTCGCCAGCAATGGATTCCATGAGCCTAGGTCTATCACTGGGACTGAAGCTACTTAGTTAAGAAGCTGTAAAAAGTGGTCTCCTGGCCATGTTGGAGACAAATTTTGACCTCTTGATAAGAATTGTTGGCAGGGGCATATCACTGAATGTTTTGTAGCTTTATTGGAGTTGAGCTTCAGCAAGTTTCACTTAAATACAAAAAACTGGATAAAATACTTTTAAAAATAACTTATTTGAAGGCATAAGACAGTGGCAACAAGGACTTGAAGGGTCCCATCCTAAAAAGAAAGAAAGACACATTGAAGGGAGCCTAATAGGTATATAGTTTTTTTCTCTTCAGAGAAATTACAAACTCTCAGTGAATGAAATAGAGGACAGAGCAGAGAACAGCAACCTACAGCTTGTTTTAGTCTCACTGCTGTGAAGACAAAATTGGAGTTCAGCCTTTCAAGGCATCCAAGACTTGGGGACCAAGATCCAAGAGAAATGGAGATCACAAAATATGAGCCTGATTCTCTGCTCATGATTTTCTTTTAAGATGCTTGCTAATTATTAAACTATGCATTCTTAGGACCAGTGGCCAAGAAAACAAGTAGATCATAACTTCTGAGAGATTAAAAAACCAAACAGTGATTTTAGGAGTCTCATAAAAGTAGAGAAAACATTTGGAGTTGAGACCTTGTCAATACATAAAAATAAACAAAAAGATGCATAGTTTCTTCACAGAACTGGAATCTATAGTAGTGAATAAAATGGAAATTTTAGAACAAAAATACAAGTAACAAAAATTAAGAAAGGAGGATCAAGATGGCGGACAAGAAACACTGCAGAAAGAGTGTCTCTGCAAAAGACAGATTCTAGCAGAAATTAGAAAAAAAGCAGAAGGCGAGCATATAGCAGACGAGGGCTGGAAGGAGGGGTACCTGAGACACCGGGAGAGTCCACGGGAGGAGGCTTCGGAGCAGAACTGGAAGCTGAGACCACTGGAGACCAGCGGGAAGGGTAGGTGGATAAATCACCTTTCCCCTCCCCTGCATTTGGGACTGCTGGTGGGCTCCCCAGCGGGTGGAGACACCTGCGGACACCAGCCCAGAGACAGCCGCTGCCAGCTAGTGGTGAGCCTGTAGCGGACACGGCACCAGACTCCCAAATCCCTGTGCACCTCCGTGTGCACAGACCCGAGCCGAGTGGCAGGCGCCATATTGCCTCCTTCTCCCCTCCGCCGACCCTACCTGTGGCTGCCCAGAAAGACAATACAGCCACCAGCTGGAGGCAACTCCAGGGAACGGGACCTTCCCTTTTGGGACCCTACAGCTGACTAAGGGGAACTCAGACTGTGAGCTCCCTACCCGCCAGCCCTCCCAGGTGCTACTGGCACGGTGTTCCAAGGAGAATGGTGCTGACTCAGAGGCTGAGAGACACAGACACAGCTTGGGCTCCCTGTGGGTGAATTGGGACCAGAACTCCTCTCCCTGGTGGGGATACAGTTTGAACTCCGGGACCCAGAGGTCAGACCTGTAGACCAGATCCCATGCACCGAGCGAGGTCTAGCATTGCCCGGGGCACAGAAGGGATATTTGTGAACAGCCTGCGGAGGTGTGTGTGCCTCCAGGGGCAGATCAGCGTCCTAGAGGGCAACCCTCCCCCCAAAGGGAGGCCGTGCGCCCAGCCCAGGTGGCGTTCCTGCGCAGGGAACCTCCGCGCAGGCATCACAATCCGGGGAGGCCTGGTGACGTGTGGTCTGGCCTGCTGGCAGAGGCCCAGGAGTAGCTGGAGTTGGGGAGGTGGAAAGAAGCGAGGCCTGCTCCAGACTGCGGGTCTCAGACAGCCCCACCCCCACAAGCAGACTTTCTGGCTGAGCGGGACCATTCCAGCCCCGCCCTCACAGCTTTTTCTGGAAGCAGAGAACAGAACTTTGACCCCTGCTAATGGCATTGGTGGTGCCTGAGGGCAGGCTTACCCAACCCAGCTCTGCCCAGAACAAGAGCTGATAACAGGACACAAAAACAACAGCACAGCCTGTTCCTCCAAGCAAACGCCACTGACTGACAGGGACGGCATCCTGCACAGCCTTATCATGGCACCCACTGACTCATTATACAGGGAGTGGTCGAATCTCACCCACAGACACCACCTAACGGCTCAGAAACTAAACAAGGCATGTGAGTATCCAAACAAAAACCTAAAGGAAAGAAACAACAACTGATCGACATGGGAAGAAATCAGCAAAGGAACTCAGGAAATATGAAGAACCAAACGAAAACACACCCCAAAGAGGAGCACCAGCTCCCTAGAAACAGACACCAACCCAAATCAGGCAACCAAAATGATAGAAGAGGAATTCCGTATGTGGATCATAAGAACACTCACCGAGCTGCAACCACAACTCAATAACCAACACAAAGAAACTACAAAAAGCCACCAGGATCTGGAAAAAGAAATGGACACAATGAAGAAAAGTTTAACTGAACTCCTGGAAATGAAGAATCAATTCAGGGAACTACAAAATACAGTGGAAAGTCTCAAGAACAGGGTAGATCAAACAGAAGAAAGAATCTCAGAGCTTGAAGATAACACCCTCCAACTAAATAAAACCATCACAAGATAGAGCACAGAAATAAGAGAAAAGAGCAAAGCCTACAAGAGATGTGGGATTATGTGAAGAAACCTAATGTGAGGGTCATAGGGTTACCAGAAGGGGAAGAAGACAACACTCAAGGCTTGGACAAGCTATTTGAAGATATAATAGAGGAAAATTTCCCAGGCCTTGCTCAAAATCTCGATATACAAGTTCAAGAAGCTCAGAGGACCCTGGGAGATTCAATGCAAACAGGAAGATGTCACGACATGCAGTCATCAGACTGACCAAAATATCAACTAAAGAGCCCCTTCTAAGAGCTGTAAGATGAAAGAAGCAAGTGACGTACAAGGGAAAGCCAATTTGAATAACACCAGACTTCTCTAATGAGACTTTACAAGCAAGGAGAGAATGGGGCCCCATTCTCACTCTTTTGAAACAAAACAATGCCCAGCCTAGAATCTTCTTCCCTGAAAAACTAAGCTTCATATATGAAGGAGAAATAAAGACATTCTCAGACAAGCAAAGTCTCAGAGAATTCACCAAGACAAGACCAGCCCTACAATAAG